GGTTTGGGAGTTGTTCAGAATTTACTGACCCGGTTCGAGTCCAGTACAGTATTTCCGTTAATTTTTCAGTTCAGTCAGTCCAGTATACCGGTATCAGTTCAGTCCGGTTTTTCTTGTCAGTCAAGTTAAGTCCCGAGAATATTCCAGTTAAATATTTAGATCGAGTCGAGCATCTTAGCAGTTATTTTCAGTCAATCTGAGCGTAGTACTTAGTATTTGTTTATTTATATAATTTTTACAGAGTGATCAGCAGCAACACTTACATTATCAGTACAGGTTGGGACTCGGACTGGGTATTACATTGGTTATAATTGCTCTATCATGTTTTAAGGTATGTATATGAGTTATTCCACTCTGGGTGGAGGCGCAGTAGCCTTATTAGGCCATCCCGAGTTCCGGTGGAGGCGCCTTAGTAGGCCATCGGAATGTGCACATGGACGGACATAGTGTCCGAGGAGGTTCAGTTCAGTACAGACCTCGTGTCTGGAGTTTACAGATTACAGTTTACTTATATATACCTGCAGCCATGATATTGATATTATTATTTATGTTTACTTTAGTATGAGTTTTTGCGGAGTACAATGTTTTTAGTACTCACGCTCCCACTATTATGATTCTTTTTCAGGAGACAGGGTCGGTCCGGAGGAGTGAGTGGAGCTGGTGGTCGCTGGTCCAGTACATGTAAATATGTTTATATTTTTGCAGACTGTTGATATGTATATATTTGCCACGTTTTACTTCCGCTGACGTTTTCAGACTTTCAAACTAGCGTGTAAATTTTCAGACGACGATCCGAGTTCTCGGGTCTAGTTTTATACAGTATCACACGCTTGTTTAATAATGATAATCCGTTTTTCATAAATAAGTTTATAGTTAACGGATTTTTAGAAAGGAAATATTTTATGTAGCATCCCGAGACATATTTCGCAAAATTAACAAAAATTTTAGAAAAGAATTTGCAAAAATCGCACTCTGATTTTAGTAAGCTAAGGGGGTGTTACAAATTGGTATCAGAGCACATTTTCGTGTATCTGAATACTTTTAAAGTTAGAAATTTTCAGAAAAGACCCGACCACGCTACGCTCACGCCTCGCCGACTATCAGGTAAGTGCTGCAGTTCAGTTTATTTGTATATTTAAATGAATACTTAAGTCTATGCTCAGTAGAGGGTACCAGATTATTAACCCTAGAAGCCAGTAAGATGCTCGAATATTGTCAGAACTTAGTCGATTGTCCCAGTTATTTGATAGTTCGAATTTAGTATTCTCGGGTTATTTAGCGACTCGTCAAGAAATCTGTGTGCTTAACTAATCAGTTAGTTAATCGTATATGTTATTTAATCATGTTAAACCTTTCAATGTTCAGATGCCTCCTCATAGAGCCAGATCACCAGGAACTCCCACAGGCCACAGTGGTCGCTTTGTTTTGCGACTACCATCCAGAAAAGTTTTTCGGCCAAGGAGATCCTCGTGTAGTAGACGAATGGGTTCAGGGTCTCGAGATTATTTTCGAGGTCATGAACTGCCCCGATCGTTATCGCACGTTATGTGCTCAGATCCAGCTTACCGGTGATGCCAGACTCTGGTGGCAAGCCTATTGGAGTATGTGTCCCGGTGAAAAAGACGGTTGTACGTGGGACCAGTTCAAGGAGTTGATCCGAGAAAAGTATTATCCCTCGTATTACCGAGCAGACATGGAGCGCCACTTTTTGGCACTCACTCAGGGTACTCGTACTGTCGACGAGTACGAACGAGAGTTCACCCGTCTCGGAGCGTTTGTACCAGATCTTGTAGGTACAGAAGCAAAGAGAGCCCACCGTTTCACCGACACACTTCGCCCAGCAGTCCGCCACAACATCGTAGGCCACGGCGTCCAGACTTACGCCCGCGCAGTTGCCATTGCACAGGAAGTCGATGCCAGTATCCGACGTGAGGCCATCCAGACACCAGCTCAGCCAGTTGCTCAACCACCAGCCTAGCCCAAAGTTGCCCAACCATCAACCAACAAGAATAAAAGGAAGTTCAAGGGAGGTCCAGATGATCGCAGGAACCGCCAAAGACAAAAGACAATACCGGAATGCCCAACTTGCGGGAAACACCATCATGGAGAATGCCTTGTGGGCCAGAATGTTTGTTTCTTTTGCCGCCAGCCAGGTCACTTCATCAACAACTGTCCAGAACGACTGCAACAACAACCGCAACAACGTCAACAGCCACAACAACCTCAACAACAGCAACTTCAATAACAACAGCTCAGGCAACAACCACCACGACCACAGCAACAGCAACGCGGCAGACAGCAGGCTCGCGTTTTTGCAGTTGACTAGAGGGAGGCCGACCAGCACCCAGGTACCATGTCCGGGATGATTATTCTTAATGATGTGCCTGTCTATGCCTGGTTTGATACTGGAGCGACCCATTCTTTTATATCACGTCGATGTCTCGAAGCTATTGGGGTTCGTTCCACTACCGCTGTCAATCCTCTCGAGGTGAGTTTAGCCTCAGGAAGAAAGATAGTAACTGACGCTAGAGCCACCGATCTCAGCCTTTCCATCGGTGGCCGTATTCTGATTACTGATACTTATGTTATCGAGATGAGGGATTTTGACCTCATACTCGGTATGGATTGGCTAACTCGATTTCACGCAGATATTCGATGTTATGACCGGGAGATTACTCTTTACCTGCCGGGAGATGATCAGATCACTTATTACGGCTCCAGGACTCGTACTCTGCCATATATTATTTCTATGGCGAAAGCCAAAAAGATTCTTCAACGGGGTGATTGCTAGGGTTATCTTGTGAGCCTCGTTGGAGATGAGTCAAAGGCACGTTCACCTCATGATATCCCTATTGTTCGTGAGTTCATGGACGTGTTTCCAGACCAGCTTCCCGGAGGTCCGCCTTGCCGACAGGTGAAATTTTCTATTGATCTTATGCCTGGAGCCGGACCCGTTTTAAAGGCACCGTACAGAATGGCGCCTAAAGAATTACAAGAATTGAAGACCCAAATCCAAGAGTTGCTGAATCTCGGTTTTATACGACCGAGCGTTTCTCCTTGGGGAGCACCAGTCCTTTTTGTCAAGAAGAAGGATGGATCCATGCGTATGTGTATCAACTACCGGGATCTTAACCGGTTGACGATCAAGAATAAATATCCACTTCCCAGGATCGATGATTTATTTGATCAGTTGAGAGGTGCCTGCGTGTTTTCTATGATCGATTTACGTTCAGGCTACCATCAGCTAAAAATCAAGGAGTCAGACATACCCAAGACAGCTTTTCGTACGAGATACGGTCACTTCGAGTTCGTGGTTATGCCGTTTGGCCTCAGTAATGCCCCGGCAGTATTCATGGACTTGATGAACCGTGTATTTCATCCTTTTCTCGACCAGTTCGTTATTGTCTTCATCGATGATATTCTTATTTATTCCAAGAGCCAGGAGGAGCACGAGGAGCACCTGAGGGCCGTTCTTTCGACCCTTAGACGCGAGAAGTTATATGCAAAGTTCTCCAAGTGCGAATTTTGGCTTCAGCGAGTGGCTTTTCTTGGCCACATTATTACTTCAGCAGGTATTGAAGTTGATCCTTCCAAAATTTCTGCAGTCCAGAATTGGTCAGCACCAAAGAATCCGTCTGAGGTTCGTAGTTTCATCGGCCTTGCAGGTTATTATCGTAGATTTATCGAAGGGTTCTCGAAGATTGCACTCCCTTTGTCTCAACTGACGAGGAAGTCTATAAAGTTCGAGTGGACAGACCGTTGTGAGTCGAGTTTTCAGGAGCTGAAAAGGAGACTTACGACGGCACCGATGTTGACTATACCCGATCCTTCTTGGAGCTTCACCATCTATAGTGATGCCTCGAGGCAGGGTTTGGGATGTGTACTTATGCAAGACGGCCAGGTCGTTGCTTATGCATCACGCCAGCTCAAAACACATGAACAGAACTAACCAACGCATGACTTGGAATTAGCTGCAGTTGTTCATGCCCTCAAGATTTGGCGACACTATCTATACGGCGGTCAATGCAAAATCTTTACCGATCATAAGAGCTTTCAGTATATCTTTACTCAGAAGGAGCTTAATATGAGGCAGCGCCGTTGGTTAGAGCTCGTCAAGGATTACGATTGTACGATCCAGTATCATCCGGGAAAGGCGAATGTTGTTGCTGATGCCCTAAGCCGCAAGGTGAAGGGTGATTTGACGTACGTTGTTACTCAGCAGAGTCAGTTGATTCATGAATTTGCCCGGATGCAGATCCAGCTAGTTGATGCACTTCCTACAGCCAGTTTGGGGAGTGTGAATTCTATGCAGGTTCAGCCGACGCTGAGGGAGAGAATCCGGCAAGAGCAGGCTTCAGATGAGTTCATTCGTACAATTGATGCTAAGGTTCATGCCGGAGGCATCGAGAGTTTTCACCGAGGCACTGATGGGGCCTTGGAGTTTCGTGGCAGGATTGTGGTGCCGAAAGTCGAAGCATTGAGGAAGGAGATTTTATCTGAGGCTCATACTGCACCCTATCTAGCCCATCCAGGAAGTACAAAGATGTACCATGACCTGAAAGGGTCGTTTTGGTGGAAGGGATTGAAGAAAGATGTTGCCGACTTTGTAAGAAGATGTTTAACCTATCAGCAAGTCAAGGCCGAGCATAAAAGTCCCATAGGCCTTCTACGACCATTGCCGATTCCGAGGTGGAAGTGGGAGGAAGTTGCGATGGATTTTGTCACGGGGTTACCAAGGTCGTCTGAACATCACGACGCTATCTGGGTCGTGGTCGACAGATTGACTAAGGTTGCCCACTTCTTGCAAGTATTGATGAGTATGTCTTTGGATCGGTTGGCTGAGATTTATATCCGTAGGATCGTTCGACTCCATGGAGTACCTGTTACTGTTGTGTCAGACAGAGACCCTAGATTCAACAGTAGATTCTGGAAGAGTTTACACGAGGCAATGGGTACGAAGCTAGCTTTCAGTTCAGCCTACCATCCCGAGACTGACGGACAGACGGAGCGGACTATACAGACATTAGAGGATATGTTGCGTGCTTTGACTGTTGACAGGGGTGCTAAATGGGAGTCTTTATTGTCGTACGTCGAGTTTGCGTACAACAACAATTATCATTCTTGTATTCAGATGGCTCCTTATGAGGCACTATACGGTCGTAAATGTCGTTCCCCTCTTTATTGGGACGACGTCGGAGAACGTCAAGTACTCGGTCCGAAGCTGATCGAGGAGACAGCCGAGCACGTCGAGTTGATTCGGCAGAGACTCAGAACAGCTCAGAGCAGAATGAAATCAACCGCCGATCATCATCGACGAGATATTCAGTTCGAGGTTGGCGAGCACGCTTTTCTCAGGGTTAGTCCATTTCGCGGAGTTATTCGATTCGGGAAGAGAGGGAAATTACACCCTCGGTTCATTGGCCCGTTCGAAGTACTCGAGCGAGTGGGCGATGTTGCGTATCGTTTAGCCTTACCTCCCGAGTTATCCAATGTTCACAATGTTTTTCATGTATCTATGTTACGCAAGTACGTGTGCGACCCCGATCATGTCATTCCTCATACTGATATTGAGATTCATCCAGACTTATCTTATGAGGAGCGACCGGTAGCTGTGTTGAACCGACAGGTTCGACGGCTCCGGAAGCGTAATGTTCCCCTCGTTCGTATTCAGTGGGATCGCCACGGAGCTACTTGGGAGCAGGAGGCTGACATTCGCGCTCGTTTTCCCGACTTTCAATTTTGATATGTAAATTTTTCATGTATATATGTTTTGTTTTATATTTCCGAGGACGGAAATATTTTAAGGAGGTAGATTGTAATAACCCAACTCTTTGTTAATGAAAACGATGTATTATCTTTTATCGATTCCGTTCATTTTCAGCAAATAAGTTCGACGTTAAGTTGAAAAGTTTATCCGGTTAATTATTAACTGAGTCAAATTCGATAATTATTTTCCGAACCGTTTATTTTATAAACGGAGATTATTAATCGGGATTAATTATTGAGAATATATCTAAATTCAAGGTTAAAAATCAAGTTAAGGTACAAATGCACAAGGTACATTATGCACGCATTTGTGCACGTATGTCGTGCGTACGTCCACGCACGCGAACGCCCGCCGTACGCGTTTGATGCGGAAGTGGCTAGGCAGCTCAAGAACGCGGCAAGTCGAGCCTATCACGCACGCAACAGGCAAGCGCGAGTAACGGCAGAAATGCGCGCACTTGAGCATAGTGCGCGCAAGGGGTGCGAAAAGGACGTGGTCATGGGCGAGAACAATCGCACATGCACGGGGAGCGAGCAGGGGCTGGCCAGCAGGTACGCGCGGTTGGCGCACGCGAGCGGAACACGGGCGGCTAGTGGGGACACGCGCAAGTTGAGTGCAGCAACGCTGCACGAAAGGAACGCGGGCGATGCACGAGTACGCGCGGGGCGCAAAGCCCCACTCCTTGAGGAATGCGGATTGGCAGCAGGCCACGCGCTGGGGGCAGGCGCGCGAAGCGCTGGCGTGCTGACCACGCCGGGTGATGAGGCACGCGCGGGAGGCGGTGCCCTAGTCCTCAAGGACTAGGGCGTGGGCAAGGACAGCGCGCGGGTAAGGCGGCGCGCAAGAGAGGCGGTTGGGCCTGGGCGTCCGCGTGCGTGGACCAAAGCGAGAGAGAGAGAGAGTTTGAGTGGAGTGCAAGTCAAGTTGTTTCCATCTTACATTAAGAGATCTAGATTGTTTAGGATACTTAATATTTTATTGCTTTATTAGAGTTATAGTTATATTAGGATTGGATCTAGTTTGTGCCTATATAAAGGCCCTTTCCCATGTTATTTTTCATCATCCAAGACATCAATTGAAATCTAGAACTTTGTTCTTCCAACTTTGCTTTAGTCTTTTCACCAAAATACTATTGCAATTTTATTCGTTCCTAGAGGCGCGGTTGTGGCTCGAAGAACACTATCGACGATTCAAGGCGCGAGTTAGCGGCTTATCGGCAGTCGAAACACACGATCCTCATCATTGGTGCTTTCATTGAGAGGTGTTGATCGTGTGTTTTTCTTCTATCCCATTCCCTTTCTTTTTCTCTTCAATTTTTCCTCCCCCCCTTATAAAATATATATATATATATATATTTCGTTCATCATCATCACCATCGTCTTCCACCACGAGTCCACAAAGCAAAGAGCGGAGAGAAGAAAGAAAAGCCATGGCCAACAAGGAGATAAAGGATAAGATCGATAATCTTGACATCCAGATGCGAAGTATGAGCGAGGTTATGGAAGGAAGGCTGGGATCGCTTGACGAAAGTCAAAACAACACCAACGCTATTGTCACACGACTCGAACAGCGATTAGAGGAGGTCTTGCGCGCGTTCCAGCAGCAACCCCCACATCATCACGATGATCCTCCAAGGCGCGAACCGCGCCCACACGCCGAGCACGCCGATCGAACGCCATCACCATGGCGCGAGGATCGACGCGAGCATCAACGCGCACGCGAACACGATGAGGACTGGCGACGCGGAGGTTACGAGCACGAGGATGAGTTCGACCGGCGGTCACAGGCATCCACCAACCGTGAGTGGCCTAAGCCCGACAAACCGAGGTTCGTAATGTCCATCTTCACGGGTAGTGATCCAGAGTCGTGGCTCAACCGAATTGCGCAATATTTCGAATTGAATGAAACCGATGGCCACGATCGAGTAAGGTACGCAGCATTCTACTTAGATGGTGAGGC